AGCCCCCACACACACACACTCCATCAAAATCCTTCTGAAGATGACAGGAATCTGAATTCTCCATTACCTCCCAGTATTCTATGAAAAATTAGTTCTGAAGAACCATCTCTTTTCTTAATACCTTTGAAGAAATATCTAAAGGTTGAGAATTTTGTTAGTTTTTTGGGGGAGGAAAATTAGTACAAACTGCAGGGCTGTACATAACAAATTGACTTTCCAATAACTTATAGATTAACATCAAAATTGTGAATCTTGTAACTCATGCATGGAGTATGGTAAAAAAAATTAGGCTTCCTTTCTGCAATTGTTGGAATTGCAGTCCACATACGAATCTAATTTCTTTGTTTAAAAATTTAATCTTCACCTTCTTCTTGAAGTAGACTGAACTTCTTGTCTGCTTCTACTTGAAGCTTCCCCTTTAGCCTCTATCTTTTTCTTGGTACCTCTTGTTGGCTAAAAAAATATTTCAAGGTGTGGTGACATGATTTGAAAGGAAGCACTTGAAGCTAAAGTAAACATGATCAGTAAAATTCTAACACCAGCAGAAAAAAGGTTAATTATCTTACCTTTGCTCTAAAATTTTCTTCTTCTTCTTCTTCTTCTTCGTCTTCTTCCTCCTGTATTACAGCCTCGTCTTCACTTTCCACCCTTCTCCGTTTTCGTCCACTCGATCGTGTCCTCGCTGGCCTGACTGTGTTTACATACTCTGACTTCAGTTTTGTTATTACAACCTTACAGTTGTCCGTTTTCTCTGAAACTGACAGAGCACAGTTTTTCGAACGAAATGTACGAGTTACTGGTTCATTTGCTAGTTCATCGGACAAGCCATCGGATGTTGCTATCCTACGGGAGCGAGTAAAACGGCCAAGATTACTCTTAACCGCCATGGTTTTGAACGATACCCGGACTGGCTGCAATAGTAAACATTTCCGGGGGTCGTGCAAGCTTTACCTTTCGCCGGGGAGGGGCTGACCATAACATGAAGTATCTGATTTCCACGGACTTATTGAAGCAAAAACATTTTATAGCGGACAAGACTTGCGAAAAATAATCAAAATAGATGTAAAAACACGTACAAAAAAGATTTTACATCGGATTTTCCTGTCAGTTACCCAGCTTTTGGTTTTATATCCCACTCCACCCTGAATTCTTAGAGATGCTCCATAAAACCAACCGCTGACTGACATTTTTTGGCGCCAATGTTTTCACGATATTTCTGGTTCGTTCGAAGTAAATTTGTTTTTGATGTTTTTCTCAGGGATTCACCTTTAGCAAGACGATCTGACATCAGTCGTTGGCTAACATGTAATCCCTATCGTTGTGTGACGAAAATAATCGCCGCTTACCTTCGAACTAGCGCGAGAAGAATGCCAAAGAAAGGAAAAGTCATGCGGAGCACAGAACAAACACGGCATAATGACGAACACGAACCAGGAGTCATCGAATCAGCAATCTTCTCGACCAAAGATGGTCAGATCTGTGTGAAAGTGCTGGCAAAACCTGGTGCAAAGCAAAGTATCATTACAGGTAAGAACTGTAGCGAAAAACCAGACTAGAGAAGTAGGGGTATGGTCTTCGTCCAAAACTAAACCACCGAGGTAGGCTGAGTAGACGGAACAGTCTTTTCACTCCCCTCCCCTCAGCTTTACGACTGCAGTCTTCGTTTGATGGCACAAAGCTACATCTACAAGATCTTATTGTTCAGAGATTATACGAGGAAAGTGTTGTTCTCTTCTTTTAAACAAGAGATATTTCGGCAAGTTTTCCGTATAACCCCATACTCATTATACATTCAACTCTTGGATAAAGGAAAGCAGAGGCAAAACAACAGATTTCCTTTGGGACTACGGCTTTGTTTTTTATTGGTATGGGGTTCTACGGAAATCTTTCCGATATTCCTTTCACATTGACTTCTCACCTTCCATATCAAGTGGAGACAGCCATATTACTTACATCTTGTGTAAGTGGTAATTAAATCGTCTCCCTCAAAGACAACTTTCAATTACCCACAATGTTTATAGTCTTTAAAGGACGTAACTGTGTAGAAGCAGATTAATCTTCAGTTATTCTTTGAATTTACCCCATACTAAGAAAACTGGGCAGCAAAGAGTTAATAGATACGTTTTCGCGTGAAGTTTACAGAAAGGCGGTAAGGTGAGATTTGATTTGTCACCACGATAACAAAAATTTCTTATCTACTTGGTAGATATTTCTTCAGATGGTGTTGGTGTGCAGATTGCTGCACCTGCGAGGGATGGCGAGGCAAATGAGGAACTCGTACGATATCTAGCAGAGGCGCTAAATGTGAAGAAGAGAAGCGTCTCTCTAGACAAGGGATCTAAGTCACGCCAGAAGGTCGTGACAGTAGATCCAGCTGAGATTTCAATGGAGAAAGTTAGGGAGGTGCTTTCAAGATAGGCCTTACAGAATTAGATGAGGCTTAAAAGTCTCTGGAGCAGCATGCCACCAAGATGCTTGCCTATGACAGGTGCTTTTCAGTTGTGATGAATGAAAGAAAAGCACAAGAAAACTGGTGAATTGGTGGGGTCCTAGTTCACCCACTGTTTTTTTCACCCCACAAATTAATCGCCTGGATCAGGCACACAAGATTGAAATATGAAAAAAACAAATATGAAAAAAGCACACCACACTTGGATTTGAACATCTGAAAGGTTACTGTGTTCACATATACAGAGGTAGCAGATTGGCACCTTCAGTTCATTACTATTCGTGGTTTTTTGGTAAATTAGCTTCAACAATACCCTAAAAAATGTAGAAACTCTTTTGAAGCTCATTCATGTGAATAAAATCTTTCTACCTACTTCCTTCACCAATCATAACTTTGCCATAGACAGCCTTATAAAAACCATTCCCATGAATGTTATACCATTCTAGTGAAGACGCAAGGTGAAGGGGTCAACAATTTTTACCAGTGAACAAACAAAGACAAAGTAATAATTTGGATTTTTTGTAAAAAAGAAAAAACCCTTTACACCCTGACATTGGTATTCATATTGTTCACACGCTGTTCTCTCATACTTCTCTTGAAGAACTGATTAGGAGAACCTGTTTAAAAATCAGGTCCCTCCCAAATTGGTGATTATTTCTTTTATTCTTGACCTTTATGTTTAATTTAAGGCAGATACTTAAGGAGAAATTAGAAGCCAGTCACTCTTTCATAGGGGTCAATGGTTAAAAGGGAGTATAGAAGCAGTGAAGTTGAAAACTGTTCATTTTAATTTTCTACTAATTTTATACATTTGTCAGGTTTCCACATGACATTATAATCCACTCAAAAAAAAACTACTGTACAATTATTTAGAAACATTGATTTACCAAAAATACCTATCATTACAAAAATAGCTTTCACCATCACTTAAATTTACCATTACCAAAGAAGACAAATACTTTAATTTCCTTTTAAAATTAATTCTAATGCAAACACAACTCAGGACTGCACACAAGAATATTAAAAAAGTAGTGTTAACCACTGCAAATTACCATCATGTACAAGTTCAGTACAAAAGTTACAATCTTAAAAAAATAATGGACCTACTTTTTCCTTTCAAAGAAAAGTTTAAATGGTTACCAAGGCTGTGAAAGTGCTATGGAAAAGACATTAAAGTAGTGTGCATGTACAAAAATGCTGCAAAAAGTAAACATCCTATTTTGAATGGAACCTTAGAAATTAATAGTACAATTACAGCTCTTTGAGCATGTAGTTAAGAAAATTTATTGCAATTTAAATTCGTAACTTTTGTATGACTTGGTCACTTGCTGTCACATTATTACAAAATTTGAATTTTGAGGCAAGTAAAACCACTGAATTTTTTGCTTCAAAAAAGCACGAGAGGTAGAAAAGAAAAGGAGAGAAAAATGAAGATTGGAGAGCCATTGTACTGTACAGTAAGTTAAGTGTCAAAAACGTAAAATGGAAAGCATTCAAAAAGACAATAGTCATAAACTGTATGCAATTATTACTGATATTTTTGTAACGCAAACAGAGAAGGAACTAGACTAAGCATTGTGCTAACATTCACAAAACTCAACTTGTAACAACTCTCCATAAATTTCTAGACGTAGAGTGAAATAGTGCAATACGTTGTATATTTTTGCTGATCCATCTTGACAGAACTCAATGCCTATAAATCAAGAAGACAACAAGATACATGTTAAACATAATCAAGGCATTATTTGACAAAAAAGTGTCTAGATTTCAGTTCTTAGAAAATAGCTCCTAAGCAATTATTGGATGAGGTTAAGCATGATATACCATGCACAAACTGAATTAATTAATCATTTTATTGAGCATTTTTAAAACAATCTGCAAAAGACACTTCTCGCTGAGTTTGCAGAAGTTTAAGAACACTGCACCAAGAGGGGCTTGGAAACTAAGCAGATTTGAACTCAAAATGATGAATGCAAAATCTGCTGCAGACATTACATTCATTGTGTCATCTCCACATGCTATTGCGTATTAATAGCCCTAGACCGATCAGATTTTTCAGGTTAAGTCTAATGTATAAGTACCTTTTTGTCATATAATGTTCCACGCCTCTGCTCATGTGTTGTGGAGACGATTGCATCATGGAAGAAGCTAAAACAGATTTCAAACAAAAAAAAAAGGGAAATTTATGTACGCCTTCAACAAACGGTGGGCCTCCTTTTTCTCTCTAGGGCCCCTTCTTCAATTTGTCTTTCTTGTCTTGTGACAGAATGATCTAAATTTAAAGAATTTTCACCAAAAAATGAGCCCAAGAAAGCTTATTTGCATGACTGTGTATAAAAGTATGTCTCCTAGGTCTGCCATTTATGAAAACTGAACGTAATGCTACTATCTGAAGCTATTCTGACTGGAAGAGAAAATGTACAGAAAACCAGCGAGGATACTAAAGGAAACCCGAGTTATTTTCTCTCTCTTTGGATAATCACTCACTTCCACTACAAAAACTAGTTGTTTCCTTGAAATAACCACCAGCCACATCAAAAGCTTCACCCTTTTCTTCTCCGGAGTGACAAAACAGGAAGTTCTCCCTAAACTTACCATATTAATGCATTGTTAAGCATAAAGGCAATGAGGACAAAGAAAAAAAGGCATGTATGGGGTGTAGTTTGATTGTCAACAAATTCTCAGTACTGGATTTATAGGAAACGCATGACACAGGAGGGAGATGTTTAGATCCAGGGCGTGACAGGTTGAATGTCTTGCATGGGTAATAGGAGGGGGAGGAGGGTGTCATCAATTTGTATGCAAGCAAGGCTGGTGTTTACTGTACTTAACTCACCATAGGCTGGGTCAAACTGTCCAATGAGACCATAGAAGCCCATGTGAATAGCTTGACTTGGGTCGTTTAATTCTGCTGCAATCCTCTGTCTTCTCCTTATCTCCTCCTCTGAGACTACATCCACATGACCAGCCATTCTACTGATTGCTAGGTTGTTAGCAATCATGCTTGGGTGGGCATGCAAAGAGTTGCCCTCCCCTTTAAATTCAGATGACCTGGAGCTAGACTTCGGTGATACCTTTGGCTCACTTGATGTGCCACGATTTCTGACTCTTTCATCTTGAGACAAAACTGGTGAATGACAAGCTTCCTTTTCGGTACTTTCTTTAAGTTTTTGCAATCTTTCACGAGCTTCTGTATTTGACATACAAGGTTGGGAGCTAGAATGAAGTGTGGGTGTGGAGGAACGATCCCTCTCTGCTACCTGATAGGGACTTCTTGTTTCACGTTCCCTACTTGATGATGTCACAGCACTTGATTCTCCATTGCTGCTTATTGGCATACTCATAACTACTGGTATTCCAGTGGGAAGTGGGAGCTGTTGGCTGAGCAACATCTGATGAGCACCATATGGTAACTGCCCTGCAAACCATTCAGATCAAATGTTGAACCAGAATTATTTTATTTTGTTGTGATTTAGCCACATTTGTTGCAAAAACAAAAGTTATTTTGCAACCAGTCTACACACCAAATGGTGCTCCAAACTAACCTCTCGATGGGTCAAAGTTGAGCTGCGACAAATACGCCTGAAACTGAGTTGGCATAAAGTTTGTAGAATGTGAGTTTGTGCCTTCTCTTTTTTCATCTGAAGAGGGGGAGTTCTCTTTGTACCTTGCTGCTGGTAAAGGTGACCTGGAAGGTCTTGGAGATCTTGGAGCCAAAAGGGATTGAGATTTAATAACCTGGCTGCGGGGAGATACCTGGTCTGAGGAAGAGCCACCACGAGAATTTTCTGCCCCAAAAGAAGGGTAAATTTCCTTTGCTGTGCCTGTTGACGATTCCTGAAAGATCAAGAGTTGAGGGAAATAATGAAGAAACTTTGGGTGAAATACCCTTGGAATACTTCAGGGATGCCGCTTAACTATAAAGGAAGAGGATGTGAGGACCTGAAAAGCATGTAGCCCTTCCCTTGTGTTACAAAAGAATAATAAATCATGTGCATAATGGTACAACTCAACAAGCAGGATGCACCCAAAAGAAGGTAAAAACTCACTTTCAAGGAAAATGGACCTTTGTTGTAAACAAACATAATTATGACAAGTCACCAACTTGGTGGAACTATGTCTCCTTTGTTTACTATTCAGCTACAGTGTACATGTTAAGCCCAAACATGATAAGCTCTAACCAAACAGGACCAAGCAAAAAAGGGAAACTAGTGAAATTTTCCTCAAAATGATAGTTTAAATGAGGTTTAAACCATTCGAAATAACAATGAAACCATTAGGGAACAATTCTCACAGTTACAAAATATCAGGATGCATACAAACACAAACTGAACCCAACCTGAGAACGGTGTTTCACCATGTCCCTTCCACTTTCACTCCTATTTTCCATTTTTTCCTCTTCTCTACTAAGATTTCCACGTCTTTCTGACCTTTCTGGAGTTGTTTGTTGCTTACGTAAGGTGCCAACCAACTCACTCTCTAATTGCCTTATTAAAAGAAAAAAAGACATAAAAGTGACAGAATGCCTAGAAACAATTGACCTTTTTCTTATGTTAGTCAAGATCTTTACTCAAGAAAATCAAGCAAAAAAGAAAAACATAGCACATCTTTCCCAAACTCATTAAAGTCAGTGGGTGCCAGTTGGGGTTGGAGACTCATGGATCTACCTTCAGTTGGACAGGAATCTCTGTTCAAATATAGGATATCTCACTAATTTTAGAGCAAAAGAATTTTTTAATAGACTACACCATAAGCCTTTTCACTTTAACAGCAGTATGCATATTCTCCATACTGATTTCTATACATTTCCTTAAGTGATGACAAGAAGAGTCTGTTTAACAATCAATAACTCTGTTGGTGGTTATTTCCTTTATTCTCTTTCCCTCAATATGTTATTCAGGGGTGATATTGTAAGGAGAAATTGCATGCTTGTCACTCTTTGGGGTCAAAGGGTTACGTTAAGGTGGCTCAACACAGTTTTTGATACCTGTGTTTCTTTTGCCATTTTCTCTTAAAACCCTTGATCTCTCTAATGTTTGCTTAGTAAAGTATATTCTTTATACAAGGCTAAAAGATTAGGGAAAAAATTGAAATGTTTGAACCAAATGTTTTCAGCTGTTTTCCATCATCAGGGTTGATGATCGCCAACAACCCTGATGATGGCAAACAGCTGAAAACGCTTGGTTCAAACACTTTAATTTTTTCCCTAATCTTTTAGCCTTGTATATAGTCACTTGTATATCTATGTATACTTGTATATAGTATACTTGATCTCTCGGTTGCCAAAACTGGCAGCAAGTGAGTCAACAACACAAATTTTGGCTTTTTGATAGTTAAGCTGACCTACATGCCATTGCCATGCCGACATGAATAAAATATAAACAGGCATTTAAAATCGGTTTTGTTTATTTGTAGAAAATCTAGTCATTAGATTTTCTTTATAATTTGCATGCCACAAACTTGTAACGATACTCACAAGTTGACACCATTTTGCTAACTATTTAACAGAGAGATCTTTAATTATCCCTTGTTAAAGATTCATTCGATTACCTAGAATTTCCTTTGTTGAAAATCACTTTTTTGAATACTCCAGTTACTTATTTCCTGAAGTATTTTTGTGCCAAATTTCGTGAAATTCTAATGAGTGGTTCTCAGCAAATAGGCATATTTCCAGAAAGCAATTTTCCATTCACTCACAATTTTTTTACTTACTACACATGTGCTGCATTTAACTGGGTTCTTTGGGTAACGACGAAAAAGCTGAGAATTGCTGGGTTCTTTGCACCCTTAACTTTTCTAACATATCTTTGTAATAAAAGATTAAAGCCCTCAATACACTGGGCCAACTATAGAGAAAAATATCACAGATAGTGTGGGTACGCATGAGTAAAGAATATGACAGCTCTATTGATGGCATGTTTATTTTTTGCAATCCTTGTGCGCGTGCTGAATTGCACCAGCAAAAGTGCGTGCAAAAACTGTGTTCGGCCACCTTAGTGGTAATATCAAAAGCAGCTGGAAACAATTAGCATTGACTTACTTGAACGATGACATCCGCTGCAGTTGCTTTTGCTTCTGAAGATATTCCTCTTCTTTTTTGTACTTCAGACGCTCCCTCTCTCTCTCACATTCATATGCTTCTTCAACCCTGCTTTTCTTTTCAGGAGGTTCATCAGAAGACAGCTTGTGTTGTGTCATCTTGGGTGAAGAGCTATGTGATGATAAATATGGCAAACTCTCACTTTGACCCAGAAATCGCCGGAATTCACTTTCATCTGGAGAAGTCCTTGCTGGCATTGCTTTCTTAATGGCCAACTCATCTGCTCTCCATTCATCCTGTGTTCTGTCACTGGGTTTTTTAACTTCTTTCTTTTCAAAAGTTCTTGCTTCAATATGACCTGAACTGCTGCTACTGCGCATTCCCTTAAAAAAGATAGGAAGGTGTATTATGTACACATCAATCTGCACATACAACACTAATTTGTCTTTTTAGTTTTTAATTGAGATATCAAACAGTTCCTCAGAATTAGTTGCGAAATTTGCACACATCACCTATTTGCCAGCCATAAAGCAAGTTGCAACCTTTAAACCTAAATTTTTAAGATTTGAAGTCAAAGTGAGATAAAAATATTTTCATAATACATTCCTAGTCATTTCTTCTTAAATTTGCATTTTTCACCTTGGTTTACTCAAGTATTAAGCCTTGAGCTGTTGTCATACACTCCAAAGATGAACAGCTGCTATATTTCTTAAGCCAAAGTCATGTGTTGTGGTCTTAAAAACAAAGAGTATTAATTTCGTTTCCTGTTTCTGGAGACCAAGTTTTTATTCTATTTGTTTTGTTTTTTTTCTTTATTCCGGCAACCATCTTTGATTTTGGGTGGCCAACAGCAGTTTTCTTGAAAACAAATACCCGATATATTGAATCAACATATAAAATATTACTATTCATTTCAATGTATTAAATTTCTAACAGGCAAGGGGGAATAAAACAAAAGAATTATTAATAAGTAGCTAGTTATCCCTCAACATCAATGTGATTTCTTTGTTTTACTTCCCCAAGCCTCGTAGCAAAGTTCAAGTTTTAATATTAACTATCAAAAATGGTCTATTGACCTTAAAGCTAACTCAAACTGTCCTGTAAAAAAAATGTAGCACCTTGGAGATGGATTTACCAATGAGCAGATCTTGAGAGTTTTAAGGTTAAATGAAAAGATAGTTAGCAAATAAACCTCACCTGTTTCTCCTGCTCAAACAACATCTGTTGATAGAGTATCTGTTGCTGCTGCTCTGGTGGCATATTTGCAATCAGCTGGTAGAACTGCAGCACTTGCTGTTCATACTGATGATATTTCCTCAACTGTTCGGCAGACAAGTGTTCATGAGATCTGAAATTCACCTCTGCAGTGGAGTCCCTGATATCTCGTCTTCCCCTCTCCTTCTCAGTCAAAAGCATCTTGTCTTTTGGAGAGCTATATGCAACTGAGTCTTCTTTCACAATCACAATCTCCGAGTCCTCTTGACCACCCTCATCAGATGCCCTCGTCATTTTAAGGTGTGATCCTGCACTGGAGGCTAACTGTTGTGGGCTTTTTCCTTCTGGAGAGGGCTTGACAGTAGTTAGTGAACGTGGTATGGGTGACTTAGACACTGTATAAGGTGAAGGTGAAGGCTCTCTAAGCACAATTTCAGTTTTTCTTTCACTTTTCATTGGCTCGTTCACTCCTGAAGCCTTAATTCCTAAGAGAAATTTTTTTATAAGTGTTTGTACTTTGATTTTACCCTTTACATCCTCCTATGAGTGATCAAGACAGAATTTCTCCTTAAAATATCTACTAGTACCGTATTTATCTGTGTGTAAGTCGACCTTTTATGTCCAAAAATATCAGCCCAAAAAATCACCCTCGACTTATACACGGATCATAGACAAAGACTTGACTGAAGTCCGTTAGGAAAACTGAGTTTACAAAACCAGTTCTAATTGTGTTCGAGTTTCGTCAGTTTTCAGCGCGTTCTTCTCAACCAAAAAATAAGAAAGTTTGGAAATAATAAATTTTACGTGGCTTAAACAGAAACCTACTGGAGCTGATTTCTATTGTGTCTTCTGATCTGTAGAGCAGACATGATTTTTTCCTTACAGCTTCACTGCCGTTTATGGTGCTGAAGACAGAGCTGAATAACGTATACGCATATGCCAGGTTTTGCCGTGGAAACATGGATTTTGAGTCGTTCGCATGGTTGATTTCCTA